CTAAACTGGCTTCAGAGTTGGAGTTCTGCAAATTTCAGGTGTATCATGCTTGTTCAGGGCTCCCGAGATTTTATTGCTGCAAGATGGATCCATGGGAATCCCAGGAAGCAGATTTTCTGGGTACTTTTATGGGCCTTTCTTTGCACGATCAATCAGTATGTGCAGAGTTTTTTTCTTGGCAGATGGGTTTTTGTTGTTTAGTTTTGTTTCAGTGATAGAAGTTCCCAGCTAAGATGGGTGGAAATAGGAGGAGCCCTGGTAGCGAGGTGGGCTATGAATTGGGCTGTTAACTGCAAGGTCAGCAGTTTGAATCTACCAGCCATCCGTAGGAGAAAGATGAGGTTTTCTGCTCCTGTACAGGTTTACAGGCTTGGAAACCCTATACAGTGTCATTATGAGTCAGAACCGACTCCACAGCATACCACCACCATTAGGAGAGATGGAGACTCACAAGGAACAGACGTAGCTTCTGGACTTGTTTTGTCCTGGGTGAAGGAGTGAGAGGCAGAAGCTGAAGGAGCTGCTTTCCTGAGGCTGCTAGGTCTTGGGGCAAGTCCTGGTTCTCCAGTGCCTGGGGACAGAGCTGAAGGGCAGCACACCCACTTGTAGACCTAGTGACTGTGGCAACAAAGACAGGCAATAGCAATTGCCCCCCCCCCCACACACAGGGGTGGTGGTTTCAGGGTTGCTCCCTTCATAAGTAGAGCCAGATAGCCAACACCATGTGATGCTCATGAACATACATGTAAGCATACATGAGCACAACCAGTAGTGGCCACTTGAAGAGGTTCTCCTTGGGCAAGGAGAAGCAGATGGTCAATAAGAAGTTTTCATTTAAGGGAAGTCAAGAAAGGAGTTGGGAGACAAGGCAAGGAAGGTAATGCCAGATCAGAAGACCAAACGCCCCATGCCATGAAGTCAGTTCTGTCTCATAGCAACTCTATAAGACAGAAGAACACTGATCATAGGGTTTTCTAGGCTTTAATGGAAGTACATCACCACCTCTTTCTCCATGGAGCTGCTGCTAGTAGGTTAAACCACCAGCCTGCAGGTTGGCAGCTGAGTACTTAACTGCGACGCTACTAGTGTTCCTTGTAGAGGACCCACGTGTACAAAGGTGTGAGTGACTGTTGGTGCCTTGGGACTGGCAGGGGCATCTGGTAGGTGGGCGCCCAGGGCGCATCGCAGGATGAGAAGGCTGCGGGGTGGCTTATGGTGCTACCTTACATGCCAGGCTAAAAGGTTTGGCTTTTGTTTCAAGAGCAGTGGGAAGCCATGGAGGATGGCTCATAGGCAGAGTGATGTGGCCACACACGCATGTCAGGTTTGTTTGCCAGAGCCCTGCAGAGAGTGGATTGGAGATTAGAGGGGCGGGCAGTCTGGAGACAGGAAGGTGGAGGGTGAAGCTGTGATAGTGGGGACAGCCCTCCCCGTTTTTTTCCCTTCAGTCCGGCCCTGACCTCAGGTCCTCAGAGTGTTGCTTGTCAGAAGAGCAGTCTGCCTCATGGCTGGTACGGAGGGCAGGAGTTCCCTGTTCGTGTTCATACTAGGCCCAGGGCAAGGGCTGGTTGGGCAGCTGGCAGTTTGGCAGGGAGGACATTGTCTGCTGTGTCTGCTGCCGCCACCTCTGGGCAGTCTGATTAATGACCCACGAAGCCCAGGGCTCCTCTCGGGTCAGCCGGCCCTCCTGTGCCTGGCACTTGCTCATGGGCTGTAGCTCTAACATTCCAGGAAATGTGGCTGCCCCCTCCCTTCCCTGGCTTTTCCACCCTTTTTGCTAACCATTTCCCTGGACTTTTTAAATCCTGGCCCCAAGTGCTCCTCCACTGGATAGATATTCTGGAATTAACTCCCAGTCCATGTGTTCTGGCTTGTTTTTTTAATATAGCCCCAGAGCTGAGCGTTGCAACAAGCACACAATGCTGTTGCTGCTAGCTGCCATAGAGTCATCAACTCCTGGGAACCCCAGGCACAATGGAATCAGACCACTGTGATCTATTATGTGATTTTTGGAAGTAGATTGGCAAACCTTTCTTTCTAGTCTTAGTCTGGAAGCTTCCCTAAAGCCTGTTCAGCTTCATAGCAACACACAAGCCTTCACCGACAGATGAATTATGGCTGCACTTGTGCTGTATTAGCCAGGAATCAAATCCGGATCTCCTGCATAAACCAGACCAAACCCTTTGCCGCTGGGTTAATTCTGACTCATGGCAATTGGGTAGTACAAACAGTTTATGCTCAACCACTAACCTAAAGATGGGTGATGCAAATTCAACCAGTGAGATGTGGAAAAAAGGTCTGGCAACCTGCTTTTGTAAATATGATACCAAGAAAGTCCTGTGGGGCAGTTCTGCTCTGTAACACATGGGTTGCCATGATCTTCCACATGGAAGGCGAGAATGCTACCCCTAAGCCACCACAGTTCTCAGGCCCAACACAGTTGCTGGGGAGTCGATTCGGACTCATGGTGACCCTATGTGACAGTAGAAATGCCCTATAGGATTCTCTGGACTGCTGTCATTTTTATAGGATCAGATTGTTAGGTCTTTTCTCCCACAGAACGACTAGTGAGTTCAAACTACTGACAGGTTCCAACCACTGACATTTAACCATTGCCGAGCACTTAACCACTGCAACACCAGGGCTATGTTAGGGCACACAGTAGGGCTGTAAACTGTCATGAAGTCCAAGCTTTTTCTCTCCCGTTCTCATCCCTTTGGTAACCATTGTATTGTCCCTTATTAATACTCTGCTTGAGGGTCTGTGTCTGCGTATTGTTTGTATAACAAATCCCATCTCCCCCATTCAATTTTTCTTTGCTCTTACTTAAATGGGGCATTTCCCAAGGACAGGAACTGTGTCTTTTCCTCAGTCTGGGAGGTCCCCACAGACCAGGGTTCTGTTTGGGGCCATTCCATCTGCTTCTTCCTCATGGATGTGGAAGTGTGCATGAATAATTTCTTTTAGAAAGATCCCTATGAGGTGAAGAGTAAAGATATTCCAACTGTTCGACTTTTCCAACATGTTATACCCTTCCCTAGTCCTTGATATCAATCATCTTCTCTCAAGTCCTAGGGTTCTGGAACACACTGCAACGTCTCACAAAACTCATATTTGTCAAAAGAAATGGCTCACACAATTGTAGAGGTGGGCAAGTCCCAAATCTGTAGTTCAGAAATCAGCCTGGAGGAATCTTCTCACCCACAGAGTCTCAGGAGCTGAGGAACCCAAATTGGCAGATCAGATGACAGGCTGTTGATGCACGTGGCTGTGGGAACTGGTGAATCAGGTCAGGTGATGGGCAAGAGCCAGATGCAAGATCCAGGGCAAGAGAGCTAGCTTGTCCAAAGCGGCCTTATACATTGGATTCAAACCATGTCCCCAAGGGAAACTAAGGGTAATGATTTGAGTAACACCATCTAGTAAGGTTGTTGTTGTTGTTAAGTGCTGTCAAATCAGTTCTGACTCATAACGACCCTGTATAGGGTTTCCAAGGAGCAGTTGGTGAGTTTGAACCGCCAACCTTGCAGTTCAAACCAACCTTGCAGTCTAGTGTATTATCCCACAGTGCAACACCAAGTGGGGCATCCTTAGTCATTAGTCCCACTGTCATCTTTACTTCTTGTTGTTAATGTTGTTGTGTGTCCTCAAGTCAGTTCCAACGCAGCGACTCTGTATACACTTTCCAAGGAGCTGCTGGTGGGTTTGAACTGACAATCTTGTGGTTAGCAATCCAGTGCCATTGAGTTGGTTCTGACTCAATGTTAAGTGCCATTGAGTTGTTTCTGACTCATGGTTACCCTGTGTAGGGTTTCCAAGGGTGGTGACCTTGAACCATCAACTTGTGGTTCAAGCTGACCTTGCAGTCCAGCACATTAACCCACAGCGCCACACTAGGACTTAGCTCCACTTTAATCTTTAAACGACACATTACACTAGACAAATCTACTGCACAAAACCTCTTTAAAATATTCAAGAGCAAAGATGTCAGTTTGAGAACTACGGTGCACCTGACCCAAGCCATGGAATTTTCAATAACCTCATATGCAAGTGAAAGTTGGACAATAAATAAAGAAAAGTTGATTAATTTGCTATGGTGTTGGAAAAAACTATTAAAAGCACCACAGACTTCCAGAAGAACAAACAAATCTGTGTTGGAAAAAGTGCTTAGAATGCTCCTTAGAAGCCAGGATGGCGAGACTTCATCTCTCAAACGTAGAACATATTATCAGGAGGGACCAGTCCCTGGAGAAGGACATCATGTTTGGTAAAGTGGAGGGTCAGTGAAAAAGAGGAAGACCCCCAATGAGTTGGATTAGTACAGTGGCAGCAGCAATGAGCTCAAATGTAACAACAATTGTGAGGATGGTTCAGGACCGGGCAGTGTTTTGTTCTGTTGTGCACAGGGTTGCCCTGACCTTATGCACAGCAGAAACACTGCCCAATCCTGGGCCAACCTCACTACTGATGCCACGCTTGAGTCCATCGATGCTGCCACTTGGCCATTCCATCTCGTTGGAGGTCTTCCCCAACAAGATGGATTGGCCAAGTATGAGAGACGAAATTTGGCCATCTTGGCCTCCAAGGAGCACTCTGGCTGCACTTCTTCCAAGCATAGAGACTAGGATTTACAATACATCACAGAATGGAGGCATTTGGCTAGAAGGGCCATAACAAATAACTAGCCGCCATGCAAAGGGTCTGTGACTGCAGGATAGGTCTCCCAGAGTGTCTGGAACTGAGCTGAGCTCAGTTAGAACATGTGACTGGGGCCAGATTCTGGGCATGGCTAAAGACCAACCAGGTAGTGAGTTATCTGGGGTCAAGGGGGCCCCAGGGACTCCCAGGCCTGACTCAGCCCTCTGGCATAGGCCCAGTACTTGGGAAATCATGACTTCTCCCTCCAGATGTCTGAGCGAGGCAGTGGGCAGAAAGGTAGTTCCTGGCCAGCTGACTGACTTATCATGTCTCCCTGTGGGCTCTGTCTTGGATGGTGGCAGGAAGACAACCACAGCTACTACGTGTCCCGCCAGTATGGCCCTGGTGAGCCCCGAAGCCGGGAGCTGTGGATGGATGTGGCTGCAGCCAACCAGAGCCAAGTGAAGGTCCACAGAATCCTCTCCAGTACCCACCGGCAGGCATCTGTGAGTGCCCTAGTCCCTCCTGGGTTGGGAGGCTGGGGGCTGGCCTACCCTGCCCACTCAATGGACACACCTGTAGGCTGGGATCTGGGCTATACCTTCCAGGGAAATTCAGGGGGCTTGTCCAGAGTTATGGTGTCCACCTGTGGTCCTGGGGGTCTGTCCTGGGGATGCCTGTCCCTCACCCTGTCCAGATAAGCTTGGGCAGTGTAGGTCCCCAGCCCCTTGACCTGCAAACTGGCCCATGCTGACTCTCTACCATCCCCTGCAGAGAGTGGTGTTGTCTTTTGATTTCCCTTTCTACGGGCATCCTCTGCGACAGATCACCATAGCAACTGGAGGTAAGTCTGGTCAGCATGACCCTGGGTAGAATTTGGAGATCTCAGCCATAATCTGGGGGCTTCTTTGGAGTGCAGAGAGGTTCATGAGAGATGGGGCTGAGTAGATGGACTGGGAGCCCTACTCTCTGTTGGGTGAGAGGTCACTGAATGCCTTGGACCCCCCTCTCACAGCAGCTGACTTACTTTTCTAGGGGAAAGGTTATCTATAGAAGTAGGAATATATAGCCAGGAGTCTTGGTGGCATTATGGGTAAGCACTGGACTACTAACCAAAAGATTGGTGGTTTGAACCCACCAGTTGCTCCAAAGGAGAAAAGACTAGGCGATCTGCTCCCATAAACGTTTACAGTGTAGGAAGCCCTCTGTCATACGGGGTCACTAGGAGTTGGAATCAACTTGATGGGTGTGTGTATGTGTGTGTCCCTCTGGGCCAGCATGGGCAGTCCTGTGGTCCATGTGAAGGAGAGGAAGAGGGGGAAGGGAACCTTGAGAGCTTGTTGCTATGTAGTTCCCTGTTGCTATGATTTGATTTCTGTGCACCTCCCCATGGAGTGAGGTGGAGAAGACTGGCGGTTAAGTTTCTTTTTGCCCTTTCCCTTCACCCCACAGTCTGCACCCTTATTTGATCTGGAGTCCTTTTGCTCTGTACCCTGCAGGCCCAGGGTCCCCCAGGGCTAGAGATGGGTGTTGGGAAGGAGGTCTGAAGCTCATTTCAGGTGCCACTGCTCCTTCCTGTGCTTTGGGACTTTTTATTAACCCCTGTGGGAAAGTCCCCTGGGCTTTCTCTCTGGTGACCTCTCTGCACCTCTCTGCCCCCCCAGGCTTCATCTTCATGGGTGACATCATCCACCGGATGCTCACAGCTACTCAGTACGTGGCCCCCCTGATGGCCAACTTCAACCCTGGCTACTCTGACAATTCTACAGTTGCTTACTTTGACAATGGTGAGACTAGAGCTCAGAGTTTGAGTCACCCAGCTTCAGCGTTCTTTTGGTCCAGCCCTTTTGGAGGTGCCCAAGGTCTACAGTCACACAGCAGCAAGGCAGGCACCCACCTTTCTCTTCTCAGTTTTCTCAACTGTAAGATGGGGACAAAAGTGTCTGCTCCTTCATGGTCTCATTTCATTGTAATCATTAAAACCTTACAATAAAAGAAAACAGTGAAATGAAAGTTGCTGGCTTTGGGAGGGGGATGTCACTGTTAAGGGCTTAGTCCTTACTCTGACCAGGTGTACCTTGAGCATCCCACCCCAAGAGAACAGATTTTGCCTATTTCTTTTCCTTTTCATTTCAAGGGGTGGGGCTAGACTAGAACCAGGTATGGTGTCTAGGAGCTGCAACAGAATCCGGTTCCTCTTCATCTTCGGTTGCTCAGCTCCTGCCTCCAGTCAAATTTGCAGACTGCCCCTGTCACCGCTAAGGAATCTAACCCGTGGCTACACCACATTGATCCTCACGTAGGCAGGTCCTATTTCCTGTATTACCTCTTCTTCCAGCTAGATCTCTGCCCTTCTTTCCAGGGACAGTCTTTATTGTTCAGTGGGACCATGTCTACCTCCAAGGCCGGGAGGACAGAGGCAGCTTCACCTTCCAGGCAGCCCTGTACCATGACGGCCGCATTGTCTTTGGCTACAAAGAGGTGAGGGGCCCAGCTGCAGAGCCAGCGGGACTTGAAGCCTTTCTTTCACTCAGTAGATGTTTGTAGAGAACAGGGCTTGGTTCTGGGGATGTGACAGTTGCTAAGATGTCTGCGGGGACCTGCCCTTGTGGCACTTACAGTCTGAATGTGCAAGGGTGAATTCGAAAATATAGTTACTAGGGTTCCAGTTCATCTATGCATGGGTTTATTCCAGACAAAATGTGTTTCAACATATCTCTGTGGCCAGTGGGGTCTGCAGACTAGTTCTTTCAGTATTAAACTTGTCTCAGTCTCATTACCGTGGCCTATATAAAAAAATAAGTCCAATCAAAACAGTGGCTTCCAAATGGATCTGCTGGCAACTTAAATGCAAGGCAGAGAGAGGTCAGCTCAGAAAGTTATAATGACTGTTTTTGGGGACTCCAAAGGTGTTATCTTGATAGATTTATTGAAGGATGAAGGACAATCACTGGGGCTTGTTATGAAGGAGTTTTAAGAAATTGGAAAATTGCATTGGTGAGAACGAGTTCAGCAAAGTTGAGGAATTTTTTCCCATTAAGACAATGTACCTGCTCCTTCTTCAAGTGTAACAAGGGCTGTTCTAGGAGAATTTTGATGGGAAATTTTACTCCATCAACCCTTCAGCCCTGATCTTGTCCCCTTCAGACTCCTTGTTTGTTCCCCAATTCAAAGAACATTTAAAAGGAACATGATTTTAGTCCCTTGAGGATGCCAAAACTGCTATTTTTACATGGTGTAAACTGAAGAGTACAGAATTCTGGGAAGGGTTTCAAACCAAACCCACCGCCATGGAGTTGATTCTGACTTATAGTGATCCTAGATAGGATTTCTGAGACTGTAAATCTTTCCCCCTTGGAGCAGCTGGTGGTTTTGAACTGTCAACCTTGCAGTTGGCAGCCCAGTGCCTCACCCACAGTGTCACCAGAGCTCTTTGAGGAAGAAATACAGATGGAAATACCGAGATAGAGTATATGTCAAGAAACAGGCTTCACATTTTGATATTTTTGTTTAATAAAGGATTTAATGATTTTGTACCAATACTTTTAGACCTGCCCCTGTACAACTGCCACTGTACAAGGCTCCTAAGCAGAAATGCCTGGTCCTAATGCCTGGTGGGTGTTGAGGAGGTCGGAAGGTGGATTACAGGGACACAGCCAGATTGGAAAAGGGTCACTTTGAGAACAAACTGGAGGGGACTCAGAGGGCTGGAAGATGACAAGGAGCTTGCTGAGGTCTGGAGAGAGGTTATGGGAGCTTGGAGTGGTGTGTGTGCAAAGGTCAGATCTGGAAGTCACTTAGTCTAATTAACAGGATTGGGAGATGCTTTAGGGAAGGGAGAGGGAGAAAGGAAAAGGAGGAGCTCAGAGTGACTCCTGGGATTTTGGCCAGTCACTGAGGTGAAAAAAAGAGGAGGGAGGTGTGTAAGGAGGCCTGGGATTTAGCTTGAGGCATTATGTTTGTGGTGTCTTTGAGTCCTCCAAGAGGGTCAAGCAGGTAGGTGGGTCTGGATTTCAGAGGGGAGGTCTGGGCAGTTCTGAGAGTTTGGGGAGGATAGATGGAACTTCTCCCCTACAGATCCCCATGTCAGTCCTGGAAATCAGCTCCTCCCAGCACCCGGTCAAAGCAGGCCTGTCAGACGCCTTCATGATTCTCAACCCATCCCCAGATGTGCCAGGTGAGTCCCCAGGAGCCCTACTTGGCACTCACCAGAACCCCAGACTGGTAGAGAATGAAGTGATGGACAGAGGAGAGTTGGGTGCAAGCTGAGGGAGGGAAGGGGTGTGATGGGTTCCCCAATTTTTTTCCTATAAAGTCTTTGGTGGGAGATACCCTCTCCACTTAGGAAATCTCTGAAGAGACTAAATTAAGGTTCTTGCATGCTCCCAGAACACAGCCTCCTCTGGTGATAGGAGGAGCATCACAGAGGGAATCAGAAAGCAAGAATCCAGTGTCAGCCATGTCATTAGCTCTTTGTTCTTTGCCAATCACATCACTCTATAGTCTCAGATGCCTCATCTGTCAAAAGGGGGATGTGCTAAGGGGTGTTTCTTCTGTCCAGGTCCCCCTCCAGCTCCAACACCACAAGCTCTTTCTACCCCTGGGCCCAAGTTCACAGCTGCCCCCCATGAGGGCTTGGATTCACACTCCTGGAAGGTTGTAGGCATGCCCTTCACTGCTTCTAGACAGTGGACTCTGAGATTTTGAAATGGACCTCTCTTGCTGAGCTTGTGTGCATAAGTTTTTTCTTGTAGCCTGGGAAGATCTTGTAGGACCCCGGGAAGGTGTGGGGAGCAGACTGTTGTGTGCTTGATGGAGTCAGGCGACATTCTGAATACCACCCTGGCCCTGCCAGGTCAGGTGCGAGAACGTGCTTGGGAGAAACCATCTCCAGTGCTTCCCTGGAGAACACCATTCTGTGAGTTCTGAGCTCCTACTGTCTGCTAGACCTGTTATGTGCCGGACACTGTTGAGATACCATGAAGAAGAAGACGTCGTCCTGCCCGGGGAGGATTAATCATCTGAACTGAGTTTTGGACTTCTAAGAGGAAGGACCCCCGCACCCCACTTCACCCAAAGGGACGAATCCTTCCCTCCTTAGCTCAAGTCCCACAACCTTTGTTGTTGCTATTGTTCATTTCATGTAATTTTTTAAAAAAACATTTTATTGTGAATTGAGTGAAGGTTTATAGAGCAGATCATCAGTTTTACATTCAACAAATCATGTACTTAGCTTCATTATGTGATTGCAATCCCCTCCATGCACCAACAATTAACAGCATTAACTTTATTCACTCTAACCTCTGCATTCCTCCCTGTGTCTCCTACCACCCCTACCTTTCCTCTGCCAACCTCCCTCCATCCGGTTATACATTGCCTGCCCCATCACCATGTCAACACGTGTCTACCCTCTAGCACATGTTTCATTTCCTCCTCCCCCCAAAACCATCACAGATTGTTTCTTTGATCAAGAAACACCCCCCCCCTTTTTTCCTTTTCTTTCTTTGATGTACAAAAACAAACAAAACAAAAAAACACGCAGGGATATATAATCATTTAAACAACCAAAGGGCACATTCTGGAAGCCAGTCGCTTGGTCGCCAGCACACAGCCTTTCTCTTTTCATGAGTCTAGTGTCCTCAGTTGCTCAATCTCTCCATGCCATCACCTCTGCCTCCATTTCTGGGGTCACTGCTTCTCTGGTTAGGGTTCCATGTTCAGCTCATGCTCTTCTCTCTTGATGGTCCTCGAGTCCTTTGTTCCTGGAATGTAATATTAACTACTCTCCCCTTTTTGTTACACAACATCTGCCTTTACAGTTGTGACAATCACATTTAGATAGGATAACAATTAATCACTATTGAATCAATGAATCCTATCCCTATCTCTTTTCACCAGACCCATCTAGACTAGATGAAACAACAAGATGAAAAGTGGGGATTCTGTTTTTCCCCATACACTCTGAAACTAAACTCCCTCTTGAAAACTTGTAAGCTAGCCACTTAGTGCCTTTATACCTCAACCCCCCTCCCCCTGCCCCCATACCATTTTAGGTAGCCAATATCCAAGTTGCCTGTCCTTATCAACTGTGTGTACAGAGGGGATAGACAGGTTTGATTCTTTTTTTTTTTAAGACAGGTTTGATTCTTGACAGATCCCTCTCGGTTGGTATTTTGAGCTACTTACATCCATAAGTATAAGTCAAGTTCATCAAATTGTAGCAATTTACACTTGCTTCCTTTATCAAATTTATTTCTTCGTTTAGTCGAGTTCTGATCAAGCCATCGAAGCCAAGTCAAATGGGTATTTCTTTTCTTTTTAAAATTCCAAACCATAGCGACCCTGTATAGGGTTTCCCAGGAGCAGCTGGTGCGCTTGAACTGCTGACCTTGCAGTTCAAACAGCTTTGCAGTCTGGTGCATTAACCCACAGGGCCACACCAGGTCTCCAATCTCACAGGGATAGGAGGACACTTTTTGGTGTGCAGACTTTATTCCCTCACCACTCCAACCCCCATGTATATCACAAGAGCGTAGAGGAATAGGGACTGGTTTGTTCCATCTGGGTCTCTCACAGGGCCCGTACATGGCAGAGTCTCAGGAAATGTGTGTTGGATCAAGTTGCTGAATGCGGGTGAATGAGAGGAAGTCAGATCCCCTGGGAATATCTGTATCTGAATCTCCTCTGTGATTCTGGAATGAAAGACTGTTTTAGAGCAAGGCCGGGAAAGGGGGTTGGGAGGGAAGCACAGCCCACCTGAAATAACACGAGGGAGGCTGCGTCTACTCAGTGAAGCCAAGAGAAGAAGATGCAAGTGCTCCATTGTGGGAACTGCTGGATTCTGAAGGCAGGCACTGTGTGCTGAGGTATTAGGTTCACCTGCCAGGTGAGAGCCAGAGCCCAACCCCAGACACTGCCCAGGGGCTCCTGCCACCAGTTTCCCTTTCTTCTACGGCCTATTCCTTCTTGTCATCGCCCTTGGCATGATCTGTATAAAACCAAATCTGAACATGTCATTCTCTGACTCCGGGTTGCCTACACGACCAAGTCAGAATCTGTAGTGTGGCATCCAGCTGGGCCCAGCCTATCTTTATAAGTTCATCTCCATGCCCTTTCTTCGTGCACCACTCTGTCCCCCAATATGCCAAAGGTCTGCATCTCTGTGACAGGTCTCTCATATAACAGGTCCCCACTGCCACCTTTTTACCACTTGGCAAAATCCTAGCCATCCAGTGGTCCAGCTCAGATGTAGTCTCCTCTGTGGCAGAATCCTGGTGTCCTCTTTCCCTCAACATGGTGCTGAAGCCTCCTCACTCTGCTCTTGTCATGTACTAAGCACTCCTTAGGGTGACAGTGAGTAACAGCGAAAGAATGAGGTGTGAATACATATGCTGCAGTGAAGGTGCCACTGAATGGGGGTGGGTGCAGCAGAGACTCTGTTCTCTGCTTTTGGTGACCCTAACTCCACTTGAGTTAAGGGGGAGTCCTTTGGTAATTGCATCCCCTTTTGTCAGAGGTTTTTAGCTTGGAGATCCAGGCATAGACTTTAGGGGGTCTGTGCATTCCTCAAATTGTATGTGCAATATTGCAGTGTGGGGTACAGCCTACTCACAATCATGCATTTACCTGCGACAGGACTGAGGGTGTTCATTGAGCTCTAAGATGGGTCATGAGCTCTGCTTTAGGGAGTGATAACTTCTGTGTAACTAAGCAGTCAGATTCCTGTGGATTGACTGATATTCACCTCAGGAGACAGAGAATTAGACTACATTGAGCTGTAAACCCAAACCACAGCCACTGCCTTTGAGAAGATTCCAACTCCTAGTCATCCATCCTATGTTGCTGTTGTTAAGGGCCATCGAGTTAGTTCTGACCCATAGCGACCCTGTATAAGGTTTCTGAGGAGCAGCTGGTGAGTTTGAACTACTGACCTTGCAGTTCAGTGCATCAGCCCAGAGCGTCACACGAGGACTCAAGAAGCCATCCTCTAGGACAGAGTATAAGTGTTCCATGGGATTTTAGGTTAGCAATTCAAAATTACCAGCTGTTCCGCGGCAGAAAGATGAGACTTTCTGCTCCCATAAAGATTTACAGCCTCGGAAACACTATGCAGGGTCGCTTTGAGTTGGAACTGATTCCGTGGCACATAACAACAACAACAACCATCTTTATGGCACTGTAGGATAAACACTCGACCACAAGGATGGTTTAAACAGTAAGGTTGGCAGTTCAAACTCACCAGCCACTACTCGGAAACCCTATACACGGTCTCAATGAGTCGGAACCGACTCAACGGCACTTAACAGTAACAACAACAAATCTTTATGGAAAGAAACTTATTTATTTATTTATGGAACGAAACCTTTCATCTGCAGAGCAGCTGGTGAGTTCAAACACAGATGTCTCAGCTAGCAACCAAACACTTAACTACACCAGGGCTCCCTAAATAACAGTAAACCCTAAATAAACCAGTTGCCATTGATTTGACTCTAAATAACGGCAACCCCATGTATGTCTGAGTAGAATTGTGCTCCATCGTGTTCTCAATGGCTGATTTTTTTAAAAAAAGTTTTTTATTGTGAATTGAGTTTACAGAGCAGATCATCAATGTTAGATTAAACATTGTTGTTGTTGTTATGTGCCATGGAGTCGGTTCCGACTCATAGTGACCCTGTACAGGGTTTCAAGGCTGTAAATCTTCACGGGAGCAGAACGCTTCATCTTTCTCCCGCAGAACAGCTGGTAGTTTCGAACTGCTGACCTTGCGGTTCGCAGGCTGATTCGTAACCACTACGCTACCAGAACTCCTTATACTCATTGCTTTACTACATGGTTGCAGTCCCCTCCATATACCAACAGTTAACAGCATTTACCTGTATTCACTTTAGCTATTGCATTCCTCCCTGTGTTTCCCACCACCCTCATCTTTGCTAACCTCCTTCTTGTATTTTGCCTGCCCTGCCACCCATATTAACATGTATCTATGTGGGGCTGTGGGTTAACGTGCTAGAATGCAAAACTTGTTTGAACCGCAAAGTCGGCAGTTCTAAGCTCAACAGCCACTCCTCAGAAACTCTATACAGGGTCACTATGAGTTGGAACCAACTCGATGGCACTTAACAACAACAACAATCTCTCCTGATGTGGTACTGTAGGATCATCACTGGGCTGTGAGCC